GGTGAAACACAAAGCTACTGGAAATAGTTGGGGGCTCAAACCCTTGCAACCAAAAGGTGTTTGCTCCCCTTTGTACAGAAAACACCGTGTTCATGCATTTTAGGTATTTACTGAGTTCTCAGGCTGAAATCCTCTCAGTTTCTGTGCTTGTCCTCGCATTAGTCAGGTAGATAACAATATATGGTTTACTGTGTTGTACTGCCTTGCTGCTTAGTGTACCTCAAAAGCTATTACGCTGCGGATTTGTTGCCGTGGGCATTGGACCCAGCATAGATTGATTTTTAATTCAATGATTTACCTTTTTTTAATACCCAATTATTTCTCATGCAAAAGATACAACATAATACATAGCTATGAAAGATCAGGATATGTAGCTATGAATGACTATTTAGAAATTAGTCTTAATAAGAAATTATTAGAATGTTGTAAGACTTGTCAAGCTACATGGTTTCCATCAGTTCAGGACAATACTTAAATTATATGAATTAAATGTTTAATTCATTTTCAAATAAGTGATAGTGAGAATGGGGCAAAGGCAGAAAGCCTTTTTTCTTTTTTTAAAGTTGGCATTTACATAAAATTACTTCTCTGACCCCCATATTTCCATGTGAAAGTAAGCAAGTTCCATTACTTTGCAAAAGAATTAATCAGGGGAAAAAAGCACATTTGTTACTTCATGCCACTTAAAAGACCTACCCATGAGATATATCAATGGGAAGAAAAAGTTAAAAGTAATCAAAGATTAGAAAGTTTGCCTACAGGAAAGGTTAGCATTTATAAACTTCAAAATTTGAACTCTCTTCAGAACTTAGTTTCCATATATCACCACTACTCTACGGAGAGAGAAGAGAGGAAGGAGGAGAGATGGGTGCCTAAACCACCAAATATTTCCTTGCCAAAAATAAATAAATAAAAAGGTATCTATTTATTTTAATATTTTTTCCGAGGCACTGAAGAGGACTTAAGATACAAACCCCTGATTTGCTGGGGTGTGCAACCCAACTTACTTTGGCTATTTCTTACTTAATTCCTTTTTTGTATATAGCTTAAACTCTCCACACTAGGTCATTCAAGTCTTGAGTCACCAGGAAAAAGAAGTCGCTGTTCAAAGTATGGCAGACAACCAAAAGTTCAGACAGCTGCAATGAAGGATTAGTTGTGGGTTTTTCTCACTGCCTTGCTACAAACTGCATCACAGCTCTATGTTCAAACATTATTAAATGGGAATGTTTTCTCTGGCACTGACTACTTCTCCCCACAGTCTAAGTATTGAATTTTTTTAACTGAAGTAGCTTTGGTTTACAGCTCACATTAGAACTTAAAAACATATTTCCATAGTAGCTGGCATATGCAAGCAACTGTTTATTCTCAGCACCAGCCATAATAAACACTTGTACTTCTATAATCCAACAAATCTTTGTCTAATCACAACTCCATTTTCAGAGCTGAAAAATTTGCATGCTATTTAAACCATTTTTCATGAAGACTCTCTAGAAATTGAAATATTTTCCAAGTCTGCCTCCATTATCAGTAGACTAATAATTCACTGTAAAGGATGTGAAGACATATAGTGGTTATTAATGGCAACAGTCTCTTGAGAAAAAACTTTGTAAATCAGGGCATTCTATCAGATTTCCGTGTGGATAGTTTGTCTTCAGGAGACACATCTTTAATTCTGTCTCAAACTTGCTCTGGAAAGTATGGAGAAAAGACATCTCCTTGGCTGGATGGGTTTTTTGGGTGAATTAAGAACAGCATCTGACTAACTTTTGGGTTTATATTTTAGCATTCCAAAGCAGTATATCTCTGGAAAAGGGAGCAATTTGAATTCGCTTTTGGCTCATGCCTTGTCAACAGAAGTAATGAAGATCTGCTTGCAGAATTGCTACAGCAAATGAAAGGGCCCAGCAGGACATTTGAATTCCCATTGAATTTGCCAGAACTGATCATTCTAAAACTATTTGTTTTTTGTAGCCGACTTTATTGGCAATTGGAATTGCCGAGGCACAGAAGTATGGAGCCTGCGAGGCTGTTTTATGGGAACAGAATTAAGCTTTGAGGAGAAAAATCACTACCACCCTTCTTCCTTTCTTAATGAATGTTGCTATTTATGAGGATGAATTAGCAAGAAGCCAGTAATACATGAAGAATTACTATTAGTAGGAGTAGGTATTAATTTGAAAAAGGCTACATACTTAGCACAGCCTGTGAGATGCACTGCTTTTCCACCTGTGCATCTCTTCCCTTGCCCAAGCTTTAGTTCTTACATAAGAAACTGTCCCGACACCCAGCGGTTGTGTTTTTCACATCAGCAAATATCTACTTCAGTGCAACAGCGCTTCTGACCCAGTTTAATCTTCACCTTCCAAGCGGTTCCCTGTCTGCAGGACCCCACCAACATGAAAACCAGCACAGGACTCACATGCATGCAGACCCCTGTGCTACACACTCGCCAGAAGATGGACCTCACTCACCATTCACCTCCAAGTGGTGATGGAATGACTGAATTACTGCAGACTTTCTTGTGAGCCGAAATGCAGGATCAGAGGCCAACAGAAGACCCAGCTTTGGTACTAGAAATGTGAGCAATTATTAAAAAGTGTAATTGTAGATCTCTATAACAAACAATACTACCAACCAAGGCCAATATGAAGTTCACCCCCAGCATCAGCAGACATGGCACTGATGTTCAAACCTGTCACATGAACTTGGTGGGTTCAACAAAATTATGTTACCGTGAGAATCAGCATCGTACTGTCAGCCTTGCCAAAAAAGGAAACGGTGATGCATCTAAATTTCCCATCTGGTTAGGTAGAAGTTGCTAATATCTGAGGCAGACAACTCACAACTACAGGAATTTGGGGTGGCAGAAGGGAGGCAAGAATATTTCCACAGCCTCCCAAGAAAAGCTGGCAGGATCAGAGGAGTGGAAGAAGAGACACTAAATTATTGCAGTCACATGTAAATGTTGGCATTTAAAAACAGCAGCAGGAAAAGAAAAATCAGTTAAAAGAACCTGAGAATGCTGAAAAAAAGCCACAATAAATACTGAAGAACTGGAAGAGGAGCTATTTCTCATTAGAAAAGAACAAGGGTTTGAGAACTACTTGTACTCATTAAGATGGGACTGGCTTGGGACTGTATGTAGTGGAAATTAAGAAAGCCAGAAAAAATCCAGAGACACCTGAACAAAATGAAAAAGGAATCATGGTGCCATTTCAGGAGACCGCAGGAGTATCAGTTGCTTCCTCAAATTAAACAGAATAGTAAAGGACATACTTACTTTAAGTAGGCTTAAGGAAAATAAATCATTGGCTCATGGACATCTTAGTAAATGATGAAATTCCCCACCTGAGAAGGCACCATGGCAGGGGATTTTAGCTGCAAGATGGAGAGCTGAGGAAATGACTGAACATGAGAAGAGATCAGCTTAAGGAAGCCTTGATGATGGAATCACAAGCTTACCAGAAAACTGATAATACCCAAGAGACTTGCAATAACCACTGAAAAACTGTTCAATGAAGAGGAAAAATCAGGGTTCATAGGCACTAAATGTATTCCCAGTGTAATCCACTGAAGTCCAATGAATCACAAAATAGGTAACTCTGGCGTGCTCTGTTTGTTCCAGTGGAATGAAAATATGGCAGTATTTTACCACGTACTTTGCTGCAATCTCGGACAATTAGCATTCAAAAGGGGAATGGAGTGTTTTGACTGGAGAGAAATAATTCTGGGTGGCAAAACAAAGAGATCCTGGAACCTATTTTCTGTCATCTCGTACCTACAGCAGTCTATGCCACATGCTTCACCAACAGGCAAAACCCGATTAGAAGCTTTGCGCACCCGCGTTATTTCCACGTAAGATGTACAGTCATGGAAAACCCCAGGCTCAGGAACTCGAATGACAAGCACTGCTCTTGGAAGCCTTTCAGGTTTTGCCTTGAAATACCTACAGGCAGCACGCAAGAGTTTGGGTACCGCAGAAACAGTCAGGCAACAGCCGGTGCTTGGCAGAGCTCCGAAGCCGGCTTGGAGATGGGTGATAGGAAAAAGGTAAACTAAAAAAGCAGAGGCAGTCTAGATGGATACATCCACCTCCAACCAGCTCCATGCCCTTTAACAGTGGGAGTTCTGGATTTGAAAGCCAGAGTATCAAAAGATGAAGCTATTTTGGTATATGGTCTTGAGATCAATCGTTGAGTTCCTGAGGAGGGAACCTGGAATTGTCTATGAAGGCTGGAAAGCAGGACAAAAGAGGACTCCAGAGCAGTAACCTGTCCCTTGAGCATACACATACCTCCAACAACTGAAAACAAAGTATAAATCGAAGAAACTACCCCAGCAGGGTATGACATGTAATTCATGAGGTGAAGTGATGGTTTACAATCAATTGCTTTTACATTTTAAAAGCGAAGTTCACTTCTTACACAAAATTACAATAAATGGAGTGATAATATTGTGTGGAACAAAAACCAGAACAGATTTTAGTTTGGCAATTCACTCCATTCAGCTGAATAACAATTCAGTCATAAGAGCACTGAATGCTTGTCTGCCCTTGATATAAGTGGGATGAAATCACTTGCAGGACTTGATCCTTGAAAACGAAAGAGGAAAGCAAAGGATGAAATCCTGGATCCTGCTCTGAGGTCAAGGGGTTTCTCCTCTTCAGTATACTTATCTGCCAATTCACTACTCCTCTCTAACATACTCTTTTGGGCCTTCAAAGTATTTCTGTGTTGGAGTCTGCAGTACAGCTAATAATAAAAACAACAGGAATTCACACATAAATATTTTTCAAGATTCCATTTAAGATCCCCACGTTTCCCCATGTACTTACTTTTGGATGAAAATTATGCAGACAGTCCCATCAGACTGGAAAAACCAAGCAAACTGTTTTCTTCAGAAGAGGATACAAAACACATCAATTCTCAGTATTTCGTACAAGATTGGCCCCACCTCACACAAGGACCACTGGTTGTTTCAACAGAAAGAGTAAGAACTGGTAGGAAGAAGAAATTATTTTATTCTTAATTGCATGTCATGGAATTTAATTCAGTTTTTAAAAAAGATCAAAACTGCTCTCGGAATTCTTTAAGCAATTTTTACAAGACCACTAGCTGTGCTTTGTTAATCACCTTATTTCAGCTATCTAAATGTATCTTAACATCTTTCAGGTGCGGTGGGATTCATTAACACTTTATTCATCATCATATAAAAAGACATATATAAATAATAGAACACATAGCTCAGAAAGAGGAAACGTTATGTCTTCCATGGTTAATAATCTTACAAAAGTTCTTCAGAATTTAGCTGTATTGCCACAACGTGGTAGAACAGCACCGAAATGAGGAACCTTAGTGTTATCCCAGAAAATACAAATAGTCTGTTTTTGTTGATTGTGTGAAAGGAAAGAAAGTTCGAGAGGCAAACTCATATGCACCAATTCTGCACAGTGAAATGCCATGCTCACAGATGAGTCAATGCAGCATGGAAAGTGACCTTTCAGGAGTGGATTTTGGGACACAAAATGGAGCTTGAAGAAGCACCTTTGAGGTATATCTAAGTGGGACTACAAGTGACCAAAAATAGTAAGGAGCAATGGTGAGTCTTCACTTCTGTAAAGCACTTTGTGGTGATTTCATTCATCAGGATTCCTTCTTTTCATCCACTTCTAACAGCTCATCAAGGAATTCCACAACTTCACCCTAGAAATCATTAAATTTAATAGAAATAAGTTAACTCTCTACTGCAAAACTGGTGGGAAATTTTTACTATTTTAATCAAAACATTAACTGTAATAATAGGTGCCCAAATATTTTTAACACCCTTCACGTAGAGACACTAGCACAACAAGCAAGGCAAGTAAATGGCCCATACAGAAGTAGCACAAGTACTTGCAGGGACACAGACTTAAAAGAAGGAAATGTTACACTTCACAGGAAATCCTATTGTACTTTTTCAGTTACTTTAAATAGACAATGAAATCCTCAAACTTAGAGAGGAATAAATGTTTAAAGCATCTGTTAAATTAGGAAATCGTTAAAATACCATAAAATATTAAAGAATTTTAGAAAGCTTCAAAATTCAAACTGATGATGCTTTGTAGAACCATAACTTTGACTATGTATCTGTCTGTTTTAACCCTTTATCTCCCCTGTTACATCCTTCAACACACACCTACTCCATTTTCAACCCCAGACCTTCATATGCAGCAAAAACGTGAAGAACCAGAGATAACAGAATGTTTTTCATACTGGAAACAAATACACTGGGTTTAGAGTCCTCCCAGAAAATACTACATTTAGAAGCTTCACTCTGCTAATACAGGGTACCAACACAACATTAACAATCTAACTTTCTTTCTTTAAACTACTCCTAACATAGTTATATATATGTCCTATGTCACAGTGTATTATGCTTCTGACTGTGCTTGATGAAGACTGCAAACAGTATTTTACAATCCTAATTCAATTTTAAGCACATTTTTGCCTAGAAAGATATTCCTTAGAAAGACAGCATCTTCCAGACACATACACTTTGAGATGCAAAATTTTACAATTTTCTGTTCTGCTGAGGAAAGGCTGCTAAAACCTCTGGCAGTGAAACCAGTAAAAGTAAATAGAGAATTTTGGCTATTTTTAATACAATATCAGCATTACAGATATTGTAATTAAAAAGCATTAACATCATATTTTTCAGAAGTGTGATTAGTGAGGAGATAACAATGAGAATCAAGCAAGCAAAAATAAAAGTGGTAGAAAACCTGGCTAAAATAACTGCTGCTCTTGTTCCCTGCTTCACAGTTCCATCTCAAAAGACCACTGAGTTTTTCCAACCATGAAGCAGCATTAGCAAGTCCCAAAGGATGGCAATTTATTGTGCTTTGGATTTGTCCAAAAGATTTAAGTATCCAATTCAGTAAAACACAAGAAAAAAGGCCAACACTTTTGTATTCCCTAACTGTCTTCCTGGTTGCAGGAAATCTGGTTCCTACAACTGGAAAACAGGAATTCAACATTTCTGCATGTTTTCCTTTGTTAGAAGAATTCTGACTGCCTAAGGAGTCCAATCGACAGAGGAACTCAATACCACTTCACAAATGCACATGACAAACAGCCTCTGGGTCCAGTAGTCACTACACAAGCAGTTGGAAGATACAGAAACGGAACACAGAGGTCAAGTTTTATAGCACAGATCCTCAACCCGTGGGCATTCGGGTGCCTCTTGAAGGAGTCACATTCAGGTGCCACTAAACTCTGAACAGTTACGAGCCTGGCAATCCAGATGTCTACTACAGGGGTCTCAGGTCTAACTCAGACTGATTCTTTTACAACTCAGGATAACAGTTTAATGAAAGAATAATGGATATGAGAAAGGATTTATCTCCTCTGCCTACCTGCAAAGGCAACTTTTAAAAGGTTAAGAATCTGAGAAGGAGGGTGAGCGGAATAAACATCTTACTGGATGAGCCAGAATTAAGCATAAGGAAGACATGGAGATTTCAATATTACACCTTTGGAACCCAACCATATGGGAACTTAATTCGATTCATATTATTGTTGCACACTCATCAGTTAAGAATATTTCAGAAAACACAGGAGATACAGATAGAATTCAATTTTTTTCCTTCTGGTATGTTTTCAAATTTAGAAACATATGAAAATATGTGAAATGTAGAATCATGTTTTGAATGGAAAAGGATATTTAAAAGCAACAATATTTGAGAAAAAAGACTGATACCTGAAATCTCCAGTGCCTGAAACAGCTCTAAAGGAAAGCTTCACAGAAGCTATTGTGGTGTACTGAGAAGTAACAGAGTTTGAAATACGGTAAAAATATTTAAAAAGTTGCTGAAACAACATATATACATAAAATATGCTGCAATGCAACTGAATAATTGCCTGGATGTTGGTTATTTTTGAAAAGGCAAAACCTCCGGATTACACTTAAAGACAACCAAAACCTGCACTTAAAATAGTTTCGCCTGTGCCTTCACAATCAGAATGTAAAACATTTGCAAGTTGTCCATAGAGCACTTGGCAGCCTGACAAAAGAGTGACAATGCTACCTCAGAAGAGCTGATCACACTGTCACACTGGCAGCTGGGACCAGACCCATCACTGTCCTCCTCCCCTTAGTGCTCACTTGACACCACATCAGGCATTTAGTGTGACTGAAGTCAGTAAATATTTCACAGGTGTTCATTCTAGGCAAAAAGCCTCCTGCCTGCTCACATCTAGCACCTTCCTGCTGGCCTGCAGATCTGGAGTATGAAATGAGTCTTTGATACTGCTTAGCCCTTCAGTATGAGAGAGTTCCTCATGTTATTTGGTGTACTCTTTAGCTCCTTCCTGCCCTTATAGAAAGAACATCAAATTTTACATGCAAAGTCAGCTGCAAACCCGTAATTCCTCCCCCTGCCAGCTACTAGAGGGGACAACAGCCACCCACCTCTAATGCAGGTTACATAAATATGCTGCTCAAACATGGTGCTGATGCAAATCATGGGTGAGCAACACGTGGCCCAAAGCACGATGCAGCTGGCTGGCTGATAGTTAGGAAATCAGTATGTGGGGTCTGACTAAGCTCAGGGAAGAGAAGGGTTTGCTGCCAGGCCGGTACGTGCCTCATAGTTAGGCAGTCAGCGACTGGGAAGCACACACATGTGGACTGCCTCGTCCTCCTTGGCTGGCCCTTGGTCCACAGTCGCTGCCTCCAGGTTTGCACTGGAGGCCAAGTACCTGCTGCAGGTTCAGCAGCTCTGTGGCATCCCACAACCTCCCTCCCTGGCCTACCAACCTCTTCCCTCTCCAGGGACAGTCGGTGGAAAGCGGGACTGACGAAGTAAGGATGTATGGTAAAAAAGATGGAACAGATATAGCCTGAAATACGGGAGGTGTGATATCAACCAGAAAAAGGGGAATGTTTCCGGACTAGTGTGAGTGGTTCAAAGAATCAGAGAAGCTGATCTGACCAACTGGAGTCTCTAATTATCTGTCAGATATGCAATTTGAGTACCCTTGGCTTAGATTAACCACTCAACAGAGGCACTGGATGGAAAGAACAAGTTTTGTGCCACAGTAATTAATTCAAGGAGGTTTCAGAGAAGATACACGGATAAGCGGATTATAATAAAAATTAATTTTAAAACAGAGTTCTTGGTTAATTCTGAATAAGCTAACCCAGGCTATTGAGACTGGGGCACTATTATAAGCTACCAATACAGGGCTCAGTTATGGCACACTTGAGACTGATGGTCCAGCACCAACTTTTCTTTTGACAGCAGCATTTAAAAACAGAACCCAGCAGCAGCATTTGCATTGCTCACTGACAGACCCAGACACTTTGCTATTGCTTACAAAGACTAAGCACTGCCTTCTGCAAATGCAGATATTAATCATTCACGGGTCCTTGCCTCCACTTACAATCTTGTTCTGTCCTTTCGCAGTGTGGACTGGAAAAGTTACAGGGAAAAAATAACCCACACTTTCTATGCAAATCTGCTGATGGCTGTTTCTATAAGGGTTCTGTATGCACTGTAGTGGGATAGCCTGTTACTCAGGGTAGCCACAGAGAACATAAAAAAGATAGTGTTCTAGAATGAATTAAGATCTACAGAAAAATATTATTCTGGACGTGTTTTTATCTGTGATTACCAGTGAATGGATATGAAATAGCCTTTATTCTAACTCATCCAACAAACTGAGCCTTAAGAGACAATAGACGGAGCAAGAAGAATTGGCTGGAACTTTGTTTCCTTATAATCTATGACCTAGAAGGAAAACATTTACTCCACATAAATGTTCCCCAGTTGTCCTTCACAGCAAAAATTCAAATTTTGCTGAAGTTTGAAGATCTTAATGACTGGAAACTTGTTTAACAGTGAGAGCAACAGATTTGATTTCCTTATGTACTGGCTGTAGGTGGCCAGGTCATGGCAGTGGGAAGGGTTGCACAAGCGGTCTCTGTGAGGAGATGTCAAGGCTGCTCTATAACTAATGAGTAATTAACCAGCAGATTTCATTCTAGAATAATTAATTATCTTGCAAGAGTGAAGACAAAGGTTTGATATGAACGACTGTGGAGGATTTGACTCCATGAACCTGACAGAGCCTGCAAGTATACACCACACAGCTCACTGGCCAGCAACATTTTGAAGGAGGGAAACATTATTTCAGGATAACAGTAAGGCATGTGTCAACGAGTGGCTCAGCCTGAAAGGTTTATTCAGCCTTCAACCAAGAGAACGTTCCTTGATCTAACCTTCAGTTAAAACATGAGAGTTCACTATAACCACCTCAAAGCCCTCCCAGAACCTGCATGAGCTGTACAGACCAGGCTGGACACTCCTCACATTCTAGCAGGGGAAAAAAAAAAAAAAAAGAAAATCCCTCAATTCTTGTGCAGAAAAACTATTTGGCCCTTAACTTGTTTATTTTTCAGATACTTAGTCCACAGTGTGACCCACTGGAGACGGAGAGTAAGGGCTTTTTTTTCAATATTAAGAGAGCTTAGTTGTTATTTACATGTATGTTAGCTAGTTTCTCAAATATTTTTCCATTTCATTTTAATGATATATTCTGAACACTTAACCGTTCTTTTCCCATATACCAGGGGGGTTACAGTACGTTGCAGTTATTACAATAGTATTTTACAGTAAACCAATAAATATGCTTTCCTTTTAACATGTTTATAATGCCTATAAAACATGAGCCAACTCAGCTTCAGAGGAATTTCAACACTGCTCCGACTGCACTGAAAACAGAAGCCTTCTAGTGGCTTTGTTTCTGAGCTCTACTTATGCTCTGCTTTATGCTACACAGAGAGTCTAATGAAAATCTGGGCAGTAGAAATTCCTCCTAATGCCAGTACCTGCAACCTGGGGACATCCTGCCACTTAAGCCCAACTGTGCTGGCAGCTTCCCATGGTAAGTCGTTCAAATGGAAGGAAGAACACCTTTGACTAAGATACACATCCTGCGGTGCAGAAGCAAGAGGAGAAAGTGGGAAGGTCATGGAGAGGCAGCCACATGGGAAGAATCTCCACTGGGAAATCAGGATGGGGAAAAAAAAAAAATCTCTTTTTCTTTCTTCTTTGAGGAAGCCTATGTTGAACAGGGACCATAACAGTGCCAATTAGCTGCCAACTCTCTCTGAAACAGCTGCCACCAGCTCTTCTCAACACAGCAGTGCTGCTGCAGCTTTCTGAGGTCACAGGCAGGGCAGGGTTGACAGGTCTGGACTTACAACTTGCTTTATATACAGCACACTTGTATAAAATCATCTAAACATATCCAAAGAGTGAGTCAATAAAGCTGGAAATACATTGTTAGCAATTCACAAACAGAAAAACAGGCTGAATTCAGATTTGCTATCGGTAGTCCATTGTGCTTTGATGCTATTCCATACTTCCATGCTTTCCACCAGTCACATTAGTTCAATACTTAATTCTTTTTTGCATCACACTTCGGAATGGAGTGTTCTCATTTCAGCCACTATTCAAATGGACACAGGCATTATATACAAATAAAAAGAACAAGATGCCAAAAAAAAAAGTGGGTCAAAGCTGCCAACATCTTTTCACCTACTGATTAAGTACTGAGAGAAAAATCACATTGTAGGATCATCCCAGCCAAATACTTGTGGTTCTTATGTAATTTAGAACAGCTAAGTAGCTATCCCCCCCCCTCAAAAAATTCCTCAAGAACACCGATTTTATGTGCCAAAAACATGTCTCATACGATTAGTGTAGTGATGAAGTTATTTCTACACTAGCTGAGTGTCTGGCTCTTAATGGCATTTCAGTTTGCTATTTAAATCTGCAATACTAGGAGTTGTATCCATGACAGCCTTTACACATTACACATCTGAACAGAAATCAAAAAGCTTGTCTATCCATGGCCAACTAAGATGGCAACACTGTAATGTTCTTTTAACTTCCCCGTGGAAAACTGCAAGGATATTTAAGAATAATTACTTTTTCTTAAAAGTAATTTGTAGGTAGGTGGCATTAATATTCTCTGTCACCTCTTCTGTGTTAAATGTTTGAATTAAGAGTTTTTCATTTCCTTGTGGAAAAACATTAATAAAGTAAGAGGAGTAGGACAGCATTTCTTGTAGTAACACACGCAAAAATCATTACTGCCTGTTCTAGTCTCTGCAATTACTGTTATGTAGTACAGAAGAAGGTAGATGTTCTCATTTGCTTTGCTAACGGGATTTAAAAAGGTACATGGATGATCTGGGACACAGGAGCACTGAGAAGACTGAATAAAAACTGCGACTCTTCACTTGAAAATAACGACACTCACATAGGAAGACATGTCTTGCCACACAAACCCTTTTTACTTCAGTCAAGGAAAAAAAGAAACATTTTTTTTTTCTGGAGATTATCTTACGAGCTTGCTGGCCCACAAGCAACTTCACAGACAGCAAACATGGACCACAGAAACTCACAAAAGTTACAGCCTATGGCCCTAGAAGCACATGGTTTAAATAAACACAGTGCACTTACAAGAGAAGTTGCCTCCATCCTTAACAATTTTTAATAAAGTTTTTACTGTAATGTCTTATCTGGGTTTTTCATCAGTTTTCAACATTCCTATGGAACAAACTTTTCTGTCTGTGCCAGAAGAAATATTAAAAAAAAAAAATAAATTCCACTTACACTACCAGGTCCTGCCCATGGAGCAGAAACTGCAAGGTAGCAGTTTTACCTTTATGCTATTCCTGCTCTGTCTGGACTCCCTGGAAGGCTCTGGCAGCCAAAGACAAGTTCGGGTAGCCAGGGATTTATGAGTTCACTAGCAAAAGCCAGAGCCAAGCCAGAGGCATGGACAGCCTCCACCCCTCTCAGGTTCTTCAGCCCTAGCAAGGGAGGGCACAGAAACCCTTCAGCTTTCCCCCTGGAGAGGAGAATGGTAACTTTGCTAATGCAAAAAAAAAAAAAAAAAAAAGCGTGAGGTAGGGATATCTGTGGCATGACCAGGCCCAGTAATTTTGGTCATTTAACCCAAACATATAATCCAGTGTAATGGTACTTCCTTGTCAGTTCCCCTAAAGTTCAACTGATATTTTCACTGCACTTCCCTCTTGCAGATTGCAAGGTCATTTATAATTGTCCTGATTCAGCAAATGAATGTTTGTTCACTCTATATGCAGTCCTTGAGGCTGAAGATTGTTTCTATGAACAACATATGGGGAAAGCAGTCACAAAGGACTACGTCTCCCCTTCCTTAATTTCTCATCCTCATGTTCTGAAGCAACAGATATGAGAGAAGGAAAAAAATGGCAAATAAGTTTATGCCTGACATAAGAAAACCTTATGGGCAAAGCACAAACCAACCAGGGAATATAAAAAGCACTCAAGCATTTCACACTCCGATGAAAATTCACAACAACTAGTCCTCATCTAAGCTTAACCTTTAAATAAGCTTATTCCACTGTCTTTCAGGGCGTTTTATCACAATGGAAAGTCTTCCTAAAGTCTGGTAACCTTGCAATGGAATTTTACATAGAGTTGCTTTCAGGCCATGAGAATACTGAAGGTAGTACAAACACTACTTCTCCACTGTAAAATATTATCTCTCCCTATGTGATGGATAACACAAAAATTGCAGAGGTGATTTCATTTTTTAACATAAACCATCTTTGCCTTTTCTAACTAGAAGAGACCTCAGCAGTTCTCATTACAGGCACCCTTGCCCCATGCCATAGCTGAGCAGAGCTCTTTCTTTGCCAATGCCAGCAACGAACTTTTCCATCATTTGAAGATTTCTTTAAACCTCTAAATGAAAGGTCACAAAACCAAAGCAAACAGAAATCCAAAGCCTTCAATGATTTATACTTTAATTTCAGCTGTGGGAGACAAAGAAATGCCCTTTCAACAACTGAACTACTTTTCTTGCACCCATCCCCCCCTCAAAAAAATCCATTTTATTATTTCCAGTGTAAATACTAGTCATTATATGTTATTTGACCATGATTGCCACCTATTTAAGAAGCAAGACCGGGTGACCAAAATGTTACTGAGTAGAATAAAATAAGAGGTAACAAGACTTCCTTTGGACAAAAATTACAATTTAGGTTGTTACTTATGGACAAAATTATAGGATCTTTACTATCATTTAAACAACATTTTAAAAAAACCAAACACACACACACACACAAACCCCCCAAACCAACCAACAAAAAAAAAAACAAAAACAAACAAACAAATCCAAACACATCCCCAAAACAACAACAAAAAACACCCCACCCAAACCTAGAACAGTTTGGTTTAAAAATATATACCACTTCTCTGCCCCCTGGTGTTACAGCTTGCAAAGTAGACTTTCTTTTTTTCTGTGGGCTCAGTGCATTATATTTACCTTTGTGTTAATTAGGTCAATGTTTTTTTTAAATGATATGTGATGTTCTTTGGGTTCGTTCTTACATTCCAGTTACAAAACCAAAAATCTATTAAAAATTGGTCACGGTTACAAGAAGATTTTTCCATATTAGTTAAATCCTGGAATTACATCTATCTATCAATCATCTTCGCTTTGATGTGATTGCTGTTTTTTTGACCACAATTTCATTTCTAGAAAACTCACCTCATCATCATCCATCAGATGTTCCTTCGCGAACTCATACATTTCCAGCTGAAGTGTGGTTATGTTGTGGTATCGAACTGCCTCCTATCAAAAAACCCAAAATTTCTACGTCACTTTAGGGCAGCAAGACAGGGGAGCATCATTACACGTCACCTCAAACTACACCAGTAAAATCAGACTGAGCCTTAGTAGAAGGCAGACCCCAGGAGGGGGTTACAGTGTTGGAAAAAGGGAACAGCAAAACAGCAAGTGGTGGATCCAAACTCTTCTGTGGATCTTCACAAGCACAATCTCCATCAATTTGAGAAGACAAAAGCATTCTCCTCCTTCTCACGTTTCAAAGCACTGGCAAGTCTGAGAATAAGACTGCCAGAGCTGAGCAGCAGCATGCGCCTGCATTCCAGTGGGCTTTGGACATGAGAAAGCCTCTGCCTCCCTGTGTGCTGGCGTATGGCAGCAGGCAGTTCTGGGAAAAAGAGACACTAACCTATTTGCATGATAATGACTCACCACCCCAGCCTGAATCTGGGATAGGAAAATTCTGCACGGTCTCTCCTCACTTCCCAGTTGTTTGCCTGGACCGCAGTGTGTAGCTCAGTCACATAATCTCGTATTTGTGAACACCACCTGTAATCTGCTTTGATTATCTCATTTAACTCCTTTTGGGGAGGAAAACAGGAGACTCCCTCTTTTACAAGAGCATCTTGTGATGTTATATTAGTGTCAGAGCCAAATCCTGCAGTCACCCCATTACCAATTTAAAAATAAACCAGAGGCATTATGGTTTTCATGGCAAGTGATTAGGACAGCAAGCAACTTCTGTTCATGGTTACACTGATCAAAGTACAAGAAAATACAGCTGTGTCCATTTAGCATCTTGTATTTGAAAATCAAATTATCTGTAGTCCCCAGCTACAGAAGTTATCAATGAAACATTCAGAGTTCATGTGTAGGGCCCTTGTTCCGCCCTGCCTGCACACATATGCCAAATCTGTCTGCGGTTTGCAGTTCCAAACTGTTGCTACCCCTCACTCCCACCACCATCAAACATTGTCTCAAACACGGCTACAAAGCACAGTTCTGTTCCCGAAAGCAGTGACAAAGGAGCAGTCCCTTGGCCCTGTGAGTACAGGCTCGCTGCTTCTGCCTTCTGAAAGAACCAAACGCATTTTTGCTGCATTCTGTCTCAGCTGGCCCTGCAGGACTGGGCCTGGGTTTCCAGTGCGCCAATAAGATGTGCTGCATGTAACAGCTGTCCACAAATAAACCCCACTTAACTCAAATGGAGTGGTATTTTTGACTTGAGCAAGCTGGTCTGAGAGGCAGGAAGCATAATTATCAAATCAGTGCAAGTTATAGGAGGAATAAATGCACTGCTTTGCATAAGGTCAGTCACCTGAGCACTGCACAGAAATACTGGGTTTAATGCCACATTAAGAAACAAAAAGGGCCTTTTGGTCAGCACAGGTCTTGGTGACTGAGGTGTCTGAAGAAGCAACTTGGAAAAGGTAACTGGAATGTTATCCTGCGGGATGGGATGTCTGCTGTTGCCACAGCTAGGTTAACTGCAGTGATTCTTCCGCAGGGAAGTCATGCCCTGAGAGAAGGCACCAAATTCAACTTGTGGAACATGTATTGCTGTATCAGTTGTACAATTCATATGACTGATGCCTAAGGAGTCACTCAGGTGTCACAAAGCAGCTAATTCAGTTGCATGGCATAAATCCTGGTAACAAGAAATGACAGAAAATCAAATTTGATTTTCACAGTCCAGGTTGTAAAAATTCCTTGGACATGGAAATATATGAACAGCATAGAAATCCATTTTTAGAGTCGTTTTTCAAAGCCAGATCACAATCACCGCTGCATGGACTCCTGTTTACTGTGGGTTCTTCGCAGTAAGTACTCTAATTTAGATAATTAGATGTAATACAGTCCTGAGTCTTTTTCCATCCTCATCCACCCAACTATGTTCTTAATGGAGCAAGAGGAAAGTGAGTTTAGCTGGAGTTACCATATCCAGACACATTCCAGTGCCCACAGAACCTGAAATAACAAGCGGGTGGGCAACTACATGTTGGCAGATAATGATTCACAAAAGCCTGAATGTTACTCAGAGATTTCATCAGGAGATTTCAGAGGGCACCTGCTTTATTTATAGAGGTTCATAAAGATATAAATATGCATAAGTGACAGAGAAGTACCAGAGTGAATTTATTTGCCATCATATCACATTACATCCTATTGTAGCATATTTCAACAGAACGGGAAGAACTACAATGGCATTCACTGTTTACATGACACAGTACATCTCTGGGTACAACTTTCTACATGGTTTTCATAAAACAGTATGTGTGTAACTCTAGAACTAACATATAACCCCCATTTTCTCAACCTCTTATCCACTGAGTTTCAGAGAAATATTTAATTGTCTCTAGAAGGCATTTTGGATAATTCACCTACCGATCTGGGCTGAAAATCCTCTTCTTTAAGTCCCCATTTGTCTTTATGGTACTGGTAATACACCATGTTCTGTTTCATAACTTCATCTTTCTCGTCAAACAGAAGGTAACTAGCAGCACAAGAAGCTGCATTCTTCATGTCATTCACTAATTATTAAACACACACACACAAAAATCCAGATAAGGCAAATGAACAAATTCCTACTATTACCTAAGCTCTGCAAAACTCAGATGGAAATAGAGCCCACACCCTATCTCCCCACCAGATGCATAGAAAAAATCCCTGCTTCCCAGAAAGAATACGTTATTTTTGTGTCAGAAACAGGTAAGGTCATGATTCAAAAATGGGGACTGAGCTCTGATGGTTTCCTATGAAAATCCTAACAAAACATTCCTCCCAGGTATCCCAGTATGAGCCCACAGTTTAGTGATACGCACTGGGGCGTTTATTAAAAAAGCACTTCCCCACTTCTTTGTACTAGAACTGACAAAGAGGGAAGAGTCAATGTGTAAAATGTGTAGTCAAAGAACATAAGCAGAAGTCATTAATGGCTTGATGCTACATGGCTGATGTGTCTTCTCTTTGATGTTGGAGCCTGCAGGAACAGCTGTAAAGGCTACGTGTGTTCTTTACAGTGCAAGTAGTTCCTCAAGAAACCACAAAATTCATTAAATGATTTACCTATCAAATATGTAATCACTGAGAACCAGATACTATGATTTCTGTTAAGTGTTCCCTTCTTCCTTCAAAACCCATTTAGGTCCATTCTAACAGGATTACAAGAATCCACTAGGAAAAAGCAAATGGTATGGAATACTCTGTAGGTTTGTCTGTTGAAGAAATTCTGAACAGTAAATTGAAAATTGAGTATTTATTCAATAAATTAGTTAAGCTAAATGTGTTTCTTTGAAGTTACAATTTTTAGTCTCTCTAACTGAATGAATTAGAAGTTTAAGAAAAAATCTATTGTTAGAGTTCTATAATTCAGCTGCTTAACAACCACAGGGGTCTGACAGCTTAACCACTATGGCTTTCTTGGCACAAACCACAGGTTTTTGTACACAGGTGTACAAAATGGGTCTGTGCCATTGCAGATGTTTCAATATAAAGTACGTGGTTTACACTGTTTACCCTAATATGTTATGAGTTGCTTCAAAAAGGCATCTAAAACATAAAATACATACAATGAACATTTTTCATTTATATGATCATTTAACATTTATACGAAACACTGAAAAGTGTTAGCAGCTTGTATTGGCAGTTGCTATCCCATACAGAACAAAGGGCAGGGATGGATCACATCACACTTACTCTGGAACTACCTCATCTTTCCAACACAGACTAGTTACAAACATGCATAACTTAAAACAGAGGGGCCTGCAATGTATTTTTTCGTAGACAATTTTATGAGCACAGGCTCAACGTAGAACATTTTGTGTCCTGTGTCTGTTAACTACAGTAATACAGGAAGAAAAAAATACCAGGAAATTCAGAGTTTCTGTCCTGGAACAAGTTAAAATGCAGATTCTACAGGCCACTATTTACGTTCTAAAGCATTGTAACTAGAGGGAAAAGATTATGAATGGAATCTGTCCCACATCATCCCCATGTTATTAAAGCACAATAAATCACTACTTACATTTATAATATGCAAACTGCAAGTAATGGTACATGGTGGCCACAAACTTTTCAACAACAAAGCCTCCTATAATGGGCGTCAGATTATTCTCACACTGCACTTTGCATGCAAGGACTTCAATATAATGATCTAGAAGGAAGAAAACAACAACACAGGATAAGAGTAGCACGTTGTTATAATCCCTCCCATTTGCCACCCATTAAAATTTGGCCTTATAATGCTCTCCTGAGTCCTGTGCATCTGGAACTGGCTGCTTGGAAGTGCTGAGAATCCACAAGTCCATTTGGACTACGTATCAAGTAATGGTAATAAGCCCTTCCATAAAATCTGCACTGAGCAGTTAGGTTTCACTGACACCTACAGGCAGCTTGTGGAGGTGGGTTTTACAGTGTTACAGAGTGTTACATTATTTCCTAACTATAAACTTAACAGTACTTTCTGTTTTACATTTTTGCAATCCTTTGCAATTTCATGAAATTATTGCACGGATAAGGTCCACGTGCTGCTCAGTACAACTGTGTCACAAAGAAATACAGCAGGTGATTGCAAAATATACCTCCAGAGATGGCCACACATTGTGCCTGCAGTTTGGATGTCCTAATAGAGAAGAAAAAGGAGAATATGCCACTCACCACAGAATAACTTTCAGCCAGGAATGTTTAAGTTCACAAGCTTACCCAGTCTAAAAAAGCTTGCTATAATGCAATAGGACTACAGGTGATTTTATCTTCAAGGAAATACATTTCAAGAAACCTTCCAACAAAGAGTATCAAACATTTTCAGGATATATCACAAGAGGCTACAACACAGAAAAGAACTATTTTAAAGTCTTAGTTTACCTGTTAGCCATATTAGGCAGGTGAAAGCAAGTCAGCTAAGCTTGTGCAGCAAGTCTCTGACCAAGACAAAAGAACACTTTCCATCCCTGAAAACTCCTAAAATGAAGAACACTGAAGCCAGCTAAAAGTAACTGGCCAAATGAAATAACCAGACTCATCTTTTACAAGAGCAGTGGCATCTCCAGGCACAGTCGTGTTCAATTCCAGCCAGCACTTAAGGCCAGAGACACAAGTCCCTCAATGAAACAATCCCACGCAATGAGGACAGCTGGTTTCCAAACATAACTCATTGCTAAAAGATACATACCTAGTGCAAGCCCCAAATAGTTCTGGTTAAGCCTTACTGCTACATCTGCTTTCTGCAGTAAAAATCTCAGAGGCAGAATATTTCTCCCTTCAGCAAGAGCACAGTTCAGCCCAGGCAGCACAAGTAAATTTGAACATTCCCATCTCGAGAGCAAAATACCGAAATGCACACACATGGCCACGATGACATCGTGCAGTAACTCCCACCTTTCCTTCCTATCACTATTGCTGGGAATTGTCCTTCCTTTTCCAGGGAGTAAGAGGAAGAAATGACAGCAAATGCCAGTCACACCTGAGCATGGACACCGTATTCTTCACAGTGGCTTGGGAGTTGACCTGATGTCAGGGCTCTGACCGACTGGGAAACAAAGACTGTGTTTCTTGCTCTGCCGCCTGTGATTTCACCTTTGCTCCTTATTTGCTGTGCTAAGCACAAGCCTGCTTTGCCCAACAGTAAATCAGGGTTTGAGGCCTGGAATAGCTATTCCATGTCAGCTGTACTGGTGGATGCCAGCTACACACCGTGAGAAACTGAAACTGCTCATGTATAAACATATGTCACGAAAATTTCCCCTCTCCAACACATTTGATGGCTTCAGGACACAAAGTTGTGCTGGTTTTCCTTATGGCAACTTAAAAACCATGAAAAAAATGCAAGAGAATTTCTAAGTTAATTGAGGAAACTCGCATGTGTTCTCCACACAAAGACTGTCAACAATTCTGAGCCCAGAGCACTGGAGAAATTACTTGTTTCTTTTGCTGTCAAAGAATCCCTGCATAGGAAATGCCTATGTGCCATTTTGACAATAATAAAGAAATTTTAGGTCCTTTTTCCTTTACAAAGCAATGGATTTTTTTTTTTTAAGCTACACGCAAAAAATAGATGTTATCTACTAGTAAAACTCTAATGTAGGTAGGAAAGGTGAAAAACAGACAAAAGAAACTTGTCATAATTATGATAAAGGACATACAGATCACCGGACCTACACAAATCCCCAAAGCCAGTTTCAAAGGCAGGTTAACAACTGAGCCTCAAAGGCAACCAAATTGATATTAAAATGATGGCCAAGAGACCTGTCTGGATTAACCACTGTTACCTGGATGGGACAGTTACTATCACTTGCAAATCCATGTTATTCTGACTCAGAACTTGCATGTTAATACAAGTACTCTGTTCTGATTTCCCAATAGCCCTCATTTCTGTTACTAAAAAGAACAAAGATGTAAAGCAGAGTTCAAGCAGTTTTCAGTGACTCTAATAAAAGTCCTACTGGCCCAAACTCAGGAACAGGACTTGGGTAGTCAATCCTATGGATAAATTGACATGTACTTTCCTTCCTGTCTCCTCACCTGCAATGGAAAGATAGAAGTCCTTAAAATCTGTGATCTCTCGGGAGCCTTCACAGGCTGCAATACAGTCATCATAGGCTTTGAAGAAATCAGGAAGAGCCAGTTCCATATCCGAGATGGATGTCCTCCAATTGTCACCGTTGTACGCTCTCACAGCCCTGACAAAGAGATTCTGAAAAATTGGCAGGAATGAAAACCAGCAGCAACTGATTTCTGTGGGAAGTGGTGTGTAAAATCAAATGCAGTAAATGACATGGTGGCATTTCTGGATGACTATACAAGCTGTTCTCCAGGTAACATAAGGACAACAAATACAGGTGACTAACGTATTTTACCAGGTATTTTCGAGAGAACAGGGTATGTAATTCCATTTCTGACCAAAAGAAAAGGCTGCAGGACAGAAGTAACACTGTGAATTTAAAGCACAGGTTGTGAGGTTGTGACAGAGATTTTCAGTGGAATCTTAACACAAAATGTCTGAGTTATTTTAAACTGTGCTGCCACAGCACTTACGAATTTGAAAAACTATGCACCTGCTTAGCTCCAATAGTGATATTCATGCAGTAGCTTTCAGGTATGCCATTGTCTGTGATTCACTGTGACCCATTGATGGAACAATGAAGTGCAGGACAGGTGAGAATTACTGAATGTTTCAGAAGGCAGAACAGAAATGACTGAGATGACAGAAAGAGAGAAAGAAGAGCAAGAACTGACAACATATAAGCAAATGAGATCCCCAAATCTCACCCAGTAAGTGGAATAATAGAACAATTCCAAAAGAGCAAACTCTGAATAAAAAGCCTACCTCATAAGGCTTTATCTCCAAGTCTTTAATATGCTCCTCAGCATCAGGTATGCTCTTATAGTAGGCCATATTTCTTTGCATCATTTCATCATCTGGATGCTTCAGAAGAAATGTGTGAGCTGCTGCAATAGCTTTTGGAAGATTATTAGCCTAAACAGCGATAAAGAGAAGAGGAAGGCGTTAAAAAAGGTTAATTGGGAAAAAAACTAAAACAGTTCAAATGTTGCCAGGTTTTGTCAATGACTTGCCTACAGTCTTTGTTTTCACAAACTTACTTATACTGAAAACATAGTCTCAATAGGTACAATTACATAGTAAAACAGATATAATTATTCTCAGTTTTACTCCTAGATGCATCACTGTGAACTAATTTTTTTTATTTTAGAAGTCTTTTGTTGTTGCAGATAGCACAGATGATGGTTGTGAGATGAAGAAATTAGGGGTTTTTTGCTCCTCCCTCCCCTGTTCTTAAAGTTGACATGTTGCTCCTGTGTGGGATTAACCTCAGCAAGTACTAATGCCAACCTATGGATATTAGGCAGGAGTCATCACTGACCACGTTTACATGGTGTTTATATCACTTATTTGCCCAGCAGCACAAAGGACAGTATTACAATAATACATCTTTCTAGTGGCGTTATGAAGTTAAGAGCAAACTGCAGAGACTTGCTCAATAATTGTGTCCTAATGTACTATGTGATTTTTTAAACTAACTTTAATCTCAACTAAATATACTTTCTGAAGTATACATTTCTCACTTGCAAATACATTTGCCAAACAATTATGTATTTCTGTGTGCATGCACTTAATTTTTTTATTTTATTTTATATATACACACATATTTTCATAAATTATGTAGTACATAAGCACATACTTAGGAAGGGTGAGAGAGAAAGCAAAAGTTTTGGGTATCTGTGAAACGTTAAAACCTTTTTTCTAAGCCAAGATCCACACGAACCCGTTCAGTGTATTGATGTGTAGGCGACAACAGAGCTCCACCTCACATATGAAATAGCTTAGGGCAGTGTATGTTTAAAACCATAAGGAGGAATCGCAGGCACAAATGCACACGCACTCTTCCGTTTGTATCCCTAAAAGGTATCCCTTCATTTCAGGAAGAAACCCAAGAGACAACTGCACCGAAGAAAGACTTCAACCCACCCTGGTTGCTGTGCCGCTATGAGTGTCCCAGTGCTGGAACACTGCCAGCTGCCCTTCCTGGTTGTCCCAAAACTACACGCTTCCAGTCGGCCCAGATGCTGCTAAACACAAAGGGAAAATCTCAGCTGCACTTTCGTCAAATGCCTGATTTCTTTTGTGCTGTACGCTGTGATCCTGTTTCTCTGGTGGGCTGACAGGTCTCATTTTTACTTAGTCCATAATTCACTCTTGGTTTCAATTTTCACCTCTTAAAAATAAAATAAAAAAAGGTTTCGTAGAAACACATTCCTAAGTGAACTCAGTGGCTCTGAGAAAGCTCCCTCCAGAGGAGCAAGCAGCAGCACGGAAACATCTACTCCAAGAATCTTACGACGTGGCAAAATTTTACTCTGCAACCCACCTAAATAAACACACAGCCACTCCAAAAAATGACATAAAGCGTTTCCCTCCTGCTTCTTCCTATACTATAAATGCTGCTGGGGAGGGGTGGAGGGGTGGGGGAAGGGACATTCCTTTCTCAGAAGCCACCAGCCAGGAAAAAGTCCTTTGGATGCAGCAGTTTGTAGCTCCCAAAGGCCCATGCAGAACTCCCCGAGTAATAAGGGCTCAGAGCTGGATTACAACCCAGTATGAAAGACAATATAAACAACAGATACTAAAGGCAAAAACATCAAACTACACTGCTCAAAACTACTGCAAATGTGATTGAAAAAACAGTTTAAAGAAAGGGGGAGGGATTCCTCCAATTTCCCACTCACACTCCTCTTATCTGCCAGTTACTTGACTGTATTAGAAATAGTAAGCAGAACTGATTTTTTGCTGTGATCCATACACTGCAAACTTTGTACGTACCACAAGAGGACAATTAATAGTTAAACTAAGACAAGAAAAGGAAACATTTGTGGTGATGTAATTTTTGTATCCTTATATGGCTTTGAGAATTTGAGGAATGCCTGCCCTCTCAGTAATTCAAAAGAAACCTTTGGTACCTTCCAGTTTAGTGTGTGCACAGGCTTTAATGTGTCAAGTTAAGCTTTTTTTTACAGTCTTAGGGATGGCTTTCAACGCACAGAATTACACCAGTGTGATGCTGTGCACCTGAATACTGTTCTGGTATTATGAGAACACATTTCCCTGCATCTGTTTGGAAAAACTGCTGAGAAAGCAGCACTCCTAGAAAGAGGACACAGCAACAGTTCCGAAGATGTGTGCTTTCAAGTGACAATCCCAAAAAGAATCCACAAGGAAACAACCCTATATAATGTATACTGGAACATGTTGGGAGTGAATTCCTAAAAGGGAAAACAATCTATCCAAAGAGCTCAGCTTGTTTTGTCCCCCCCCCAGATGTTCTGTTCATTTGAAATGTGAGTAACTGAGGGGACGGCAGGAGGGAAGACCTTGATAGAGAAAACAGAAGATGAAGATGAGGAGGGAGAAATCAATTAGATCCTGGACAGAAGAATGACAAGAAGCTAGACAAATAGGATGAAATTCTATTTCAAAGAGAGGCATGTGTCCCCAGTCTTGGCTGACCCAAGAGTGAAAGATAAATACCATTCCAGGGCTAGCATTAGTGTCCCACTTCAGCAGCCAGTTTTTGCTTCTTTCCTTCCCACGGCTGCAACAAAACTGGAGTTTTGCAGGCATCAGGCTATCTGCAAGTCACAGGCTGGGGGCTGCTGCACTTGAAAGAACTGGAGCAGAAGTGAGCAAGTGGAGAAGGTGGACACGCTGAGGGACAGGAGGTAGCGAAGAGCGCTTGCAATAGCAGAGCTGTGACACGAAGAGTCTGAAAAAGGTTCCATAGAAGATTAGAAAGTAAGGCAGATGGAAAGATGAGAAGCAGGGACACGAATGACACAAGTACAGGACACAGAGGCAGGTTCTCGTAGCCAGATATCCCAGAAGAACTGGAAGGTGTGATCTAGGGGACATGCCGGATGAGTTGTGGAAAAACTGGTGAAGAGCAAGCTGGATGGCAGGTAGCAGGGAAAAAAACAAGGAACATGCTGATCCCACAGTCAGTTACATGAGGCGAGTGGGTGGAAGGGACTGAAAGGCTTGCCGAAAAGAAGACGAAGTGTACGCTGGGCAGCCGGGGGAGGTTGTGGGGGGGGGGGGGGGGGGGAGGAAAGGACTAGTGGGCCTGACCAGGGAGCAGGGGAGAAAAATTAAACTGGTGTGAAGGAGGCAATGGGAAATAAGGCTATGGCCCAGAGAAACCTGCTCCGAGTGCCAGGCGAGAGGCCGGCAGGAGCAGTGGCTTTTCCAGAACTAGGTGCACAAGGCACTTGCATCCATCGAGGCCGTGCTGGGACACGCCACGTGTAGAGACACACCATTCCGTCCCCCTCCACCACAACACTGACAGGCCGGGGGGGGGGACTCTGGGGAGGAGTGGCTGGGACGGAGGCGGGCGGGTTGGGGAGCGGAGGCAGGGCAGGGAGATGGGAGGGGAGAGGCGGAGGGATGGAGAAGGGAGCGGGGGAAGGGGGGAACCCTCACCTTGAAGTAGGCGAACTGCAGGTACTTGTAGGGTTCCCGGCGCTGGAAGTCCTCCAGCAGGTCGCGGCCGGGCTGCGCCTGTCGGAAGGCGGGCAGCCCCTGCTTGCAGCGCCGCAGGCACTGCGCCCTCCGCAGCACCCCGGCCAGGAGCCGCAGCTCCGCCAGCGCCGCCCCGGCGGCCGAGGGTGCGGGGGAGGCGGGCGGCGGCCGCCCCGCCGCGCTGCAGTTGCGGTGGCAGAACGCCTCGCTGTCGCGCAGCAGGCGGTACAGCCGCATGCTGACCTCCAGGTAGCTGACGCTCTCGGGCCAGTTCTCGGTGCTGTACTGGTCCAGCCCGTAGCGGTAGGCCGACTCCAGCGGCATCAGCTCGTCCCGCGGGAAGCTGCGGAAGCTGTAGCGCTCGTACTGCGCCCCGGCCGCCGCCAGCAGCGCCGCCAGCGCCGCCACCCACATGGCCGAGACACCCACAGTGTCCGCACGGCCGCACTCCGCCGCCAAGGGGAGAGCGGAGCGCAGGGAATGGGAAAGGGAACGGAGAGGCAGCGCCGGGGCTCGGGAGGAGGAAGGGGAAAGGCGGAGGGGCACGGGCGGAGGGCGGGGAGAGGCGGTGCCGAGCGGAGCTGGGGGGCGGCTCCTGCGCCCCCGCTGGTGCTCGGGGGGAGCGGGAGCTCTACCGGCAGCAGTCAGCTCTGCAAGGCAACTACCTTGTTAATGTGTTTCTAGTGTCTTTTTGTTGTTTGTTTGTTTCTTCCTTGTGTATTTTCCCCGTGTCCTTAACAGTTAGCGTGGGTGTTTTTTGTTTTGGGGTTGTTCGGGGTTTTTTTGCGGTTTCTGTTGGAGATTTTTGTTTGTTTGTTTGGTGGGGTTTTTTTGGTGGTTTTTGTTTGTTTGTTTTGTTCTTGTTATTGGTTTTGTTGTTTTGTGGGTTTTTTGTTTGTTTTTTTGGTTTTTGGTTTTTGGTTTTTTTTCGGTCGTTTGGTTTTGTTCATCCGCAATATGGGAGGGAGGTTTGTTGGGAAAATGTATGTTCTAAAACAATCTCTTGCACTCTTCATTTTTGTGTGTGTGTGTGTGTTTATCTACAGAACTTACGAACACATGCATGGGTTCCCGCCTTCGTACTGAGATGAAGAGCGATGAGGACGGTGTTGGAATACTCCTGGGCTACTACTGCTCTAGATGTTATTTCCCTTGAAACTGGCATTTCGGATATGGTGTGATAAGATGTTGCAGAATTGTAAGTACTATTTCTGCCTCTTGTTGCTGTTTGATGCTTGGTTTCCTGAGGAAAAATAATGCAGAAGATCTACAAGGAAAGGGATTTTACATTTCTGGAATACTTGCCAGCTGACTAGTTTATACCTTGGATGTGAGCTATAGAAGGTGATCTATTCAGGACAGCCTTGTCATGGAGCAGCTGTTGCATGGTTTATACTTGTCATCGGGTTCTCAATGTATAGCCTTAATTTTTGTGGATTATGCATTGAACTTTCCAGTAGTTTGTTTGCTCTTACATTTCCCTAAGGTTTAGGCAAAGATTTAAAGAGTTACCAGCCTTAAGGTTGAGTATTTCTTATTTTATCATGTCATGTTGCTGTTGGAAACCTCTGAGTGTTGGTGGTATTCAAGGAATGTCCAGGATTTAGAGGATGAATCTGTACGTTCATGTGCTGAGCAGAAAAGTACAACTGCTCTTTTTGGTGACCTCTAACTTTTTTACACAGGTGGTCCATTTATCAAGATTACACTGCATTGTGGCTAATTTTATTTGTTAGTTCCAACAACTGTCATCTTAATGCAGAGGTTTGTGTCAGGTCTGTAATCCAAACTTTGAATCATTGTGCTCATGTGTTCTTTCTTCCTGTTACCCATTCTGATTCAGTGAGATGGCACCTGGGGGCAGAAGAATCACAAAGCTATCCCAGATTTTGCCAAATGGAAATAACAGGGCAGTGGGAAGTCCTCATCGCTAAAAGGCTGTGTGGATTCATTTTATATCCCTGTCATTTGATCAGTAATTGAGTTCAATTCCTTGAGGCTGAGCTTTCCAGACAGTTCCATTCCATCAGGTAATTTGAAGTCGCTTCTAGGGATATGTGTGTCTGTGAATGATGCTGGAAAAGTGATCTTACTGCTCTACTTGGTAGATGTTGCATTTTGGAAAAAAGCAAAACAAACCCCAAACAAACATGAGAAGGTCGTGGCCCTAATTTTGTTTTGATGAATATTTTTCTTGTCTTCAGGTGTGCAAGGACATCACTGGCTTTGTTCCCCACGCTGTAGCTGGTTCCCTTATTCATGTTTGTCCTTTTGTATTTCTTTGATATGTTGAGATTACTGTAGGTTTTAACTTTTTTATAACAGGATCAGAAGAGGGAAAAGCTCCCTGCTGCTCTTCAGACACTGACATACCAACTCAAAGTGTCCCTTTGGTACACATGAAAACACATGAGCATCAAGGAGCAAGGCTTTGGGACCCTAGACAGATCTCCTTCTGTATCCTTGCAACCCAGTCAATTCATTGTTACAGTCATCTTTCAGAAAATCCATGGAAACTGAACACGAAATGGCCACGAACTTGAATAAAACTTGCCTTTGGTTTTTACCTGTAGCGTTTGAGAAGTGGACATCAAAAACAGTCTAAGAGCCCTGGATGTGGCCAATAGCATCCTCCTAAGGGCTTGTGTTTGAAATCTAATCTCAAGGGCATCTCTGCCAGCTGCCTTTGTGACACAAACTGATTTCTTGTCACAGATGTACACACATTCTGTAATGGAACTTGCTGCTGCACCACCATCATCTCGAGAAGCCACCAGTCCCACAGCTGAAAGCTCCAGCATGAGCAGTTCATACAGCAGCACAGCCCAGCAGTGACAGAGGAGAGAGGAGGAAAGCCTTGAGAAATGGAGTACGTCTAATATCCGATAACCATGGATGGGACCAGCAGGTGCAGAACCCTAAGCTACTCTCCATTCTGCTGCAGGACTTTGTGAATTCCTGCCAGAAAACAGCTGTTGGTGTGCCAAGGAATTTCTGCAGGTAAAATGTGAAGCGGCTGCAAGTGAAACAGCTATCTGAGGTATCAGTTTTCTCCAGCTAAACTCACAGCCATCAGCTGGCTCCCTCCTCATATATCCCCAGTCTGGGTGCTTTTCAAATAAAAACTAGGTTGAATGATAGAATAGTTTGGGTTGGAAGGTAGCTTTAAAGGCCATCTAGTCCAACGCCTTCATGGTGAGCAGGGACATCGTCAAGTAGGTCAGGTTGCTAAGAGCTCATCTGACCTGACATCGAATGTTTTCAGGGATGAAATACCTATCACACTTCTGGACAACTCATGCCAGAGTTTCCCCACTCTTGTCATAAACAGTTTTTTCTTTAGACTTAATCGGAGTCTACCCTCTTTTGGTTTGCAAGCCTTTCCCCTTGTCTTATTGCAACAGGCCCCATTAAAAAATGCATCTGTGTCTTCTTAGAAGCCCACTGAAATTCACCTGGGAAGCCAGAATCCTCTGTAAATCAGCACAGCCAGTCGTGTTCCACGGTTGGATCAGCTCCTTCTGATGGGCAAATCCCACCTGTGCCAAATAACTTCCAAAAAGTAATAACTGTAGAGGTAGAGACATACATACAGAGGTATCATGGGAATGTCCAATAAATGTGCAAATATAGGTTTGGGAGTTTTTTTCTTTTAAATTATTATGCCAGTTGCACTGGCTTCCGAGTTTTGGCTTTCAGGCTGGAGCACCAAACTGTGTTGTAGTTCATGAACGGATGTCTTGTCTCCATTTCACCAGGCTTGGAGCAACTACATTTGATCAGAAGTAGGGCTTTGAAAGCAGAAAACAAAACTGTTTGGAAACTGTTGGGTGGGAGCAGGCTGCTAGAACTTCGTGTTCCCTCATTTTGAAGAAACAGTTGTGTTTTCTGAATGGAGGATAAACAGGGCTTTGGGGAGTGTTTTTTTAAGGCACGCATGTTTGCAACCATTTCCTGATCCCCAGTCTAGCAGAAAATGTGGTTACCCACCAAATGTTTAAAGCTTCAAGATTATGGCATTAGTAAGTGGGAAAAGTTGTGGCTGTAGGTCCAAGGAAGTTGAATGTTCCTAATGCAATCAAGCAATTGTTCTTTCAGTCTGACATATAGAGAGACTATTTGTGTCATGACAATATGCAACCTCCCAGATTCCATAATCAGAGTTTGACAAGTTCCTTTTTCTCCACTGCACTCTGTGGACTCCTGCACTAGTCAGTGGTAATCTTGGGGCTGGAGGTCACCTAGCTGGGAAAAAACTTGTGTAGAGCCATTCAAAAATGCTAGCTTGGCTTCAAAAGTAGACAAAGTCCTAGATCTTTATCTATTCTTTTTATTTTTAAACTGAGAAAGGAAATCACAGGTAATTAAAAAAAAAAAAAAAAAAAAAGAAAAGAAAAGAAAAGGAAAAAAAGAAAGTCAACCAAAAAAAAAAAGCCCAAAAAACCTAAACCTAAGCCCCCAAAAACCAAACCCTTGACAGTTCCAGTATTAACCTTTCCTTCAGATGACATTTAACTCTGTTCTTTCTAGATCTAGTATGACTAGTTCTCTATCCCTTTGATGATTCCTTAGAGACGCTTTATACTCGGACTGTTTGACCATGTTCCTCAGGAGAGGCAGCTACAGGATGGAGTCTGATGAATTCAACAATTCCTCATGGCAGTGGCTGCCATCGTAGCAGCGGTTCTCGTAAATTACTGATCTGAGCCTGCCCTTCTGAGGTCAAAAAACCTGCAGGTACAAGTGTTGGAAATGTTGTGTCTAAGTTGTTGGTATTATTTCATATTTCAGGTTTGAAAGGCTGAGAAACCCGGAACACCAGATCCTGTGGGAATCTCCCCTCCTCACCCCGCAGAACTTCAGCACCGCGGACAGCGGCGGCCGGCGCGGGGGTCCCGGCGGGGTCCCGGTGCCCCGGGCCCAGGGCGCACCTGGGCAGGGCCAGGAACGAGGTGAGGGAGCCCGCTAACAAGCTGCAGCCCGTTATTCCACTTCTCTGTTGTCCCTGGATAGAATCCTGTATTTTCTTCTTGATTCTTCCCGCAGAGAAGACGGTTCCAGCAGAACGTAGCAAGTGAGGTTGGAAATACCTCGCACTCTGGGGATGTTGCTTGGTCAGGAAGGGCCTTCCATAAGCACCACAAGAAGGGACTGGAAATAAAAGGTATCAGCCTTTCTTACAGAACAAACTTGTTGCCCTGTTTTTATCAATTTTGATGCGTGGGGAAAGTTCTATTTAAATATTCATTTTTAAAAAAGAGGATGCTTTAAATTGAAGGAGTAAAAGTATTAGCGATGAATGGCATTGCAGGATTATGGAATACAGGCACAAAATTTTGAGAAATGCAAGCAAACTTGACACCCCAACATGAAGCCAAATTACACACAGGCACTTTATTTGCATCTTCACCTGTATGATTCTGTGCATGGGTTTTATTTCCTCATAGCATCACCAGCAGGCTCGAAAGACAGGATCTCCACACGA